CTTGTGACAATGACAGCCTTGCTTCTTTGGCTTACAAGCCAGACATTTATGCTACTTCCTGTTCATAAGGGGAATCTCTGGGGGGGGAAAAAGCAGCTAAACATACAGCGGTGTCCAGACATGCCTAAGATAGCTCCAAGCAGTTCTCCTTTATGAGTGCACAACTATGCATTTCCATGGGTGTATGTACTATCAAAGGAAAAGGAGAAGTGGGGAAGTGCGTACGATTTGTGTATGTGTGCTCATAACAAAGTATGGAACTGACCGCAGCCATTCACAAATTGGGCTTTATTAACCACAGACTTCTTCATTTAACAGCATACTCATTCATGTTAGACAAAGAAAGAAAAAAATCAAGAGATGACTGGTAACCATGTCTGCGAATGTGGTAACTGCCACTCATGCTGCAGTTTATTACGGCTGAGTAATAAACTTGTATCAACACAGCGCACACAAATGAGCATTTACGGCTATTAAAAGCAGCCCGATTCAAGTTATGGCACATAGAAAAACGTAGAAAATACTTAATAATAGTGTAGGGAACTCAAAATGCCAGTGTGCACATTTCTCCGGATATGTCAAACATGAATTATACGTTGTAAAAGGAGAGGATTAACTGTGCAGCTACGAGGGAAGTGCTTGGGTTTGTAGCCTTGAGTTTTGTGTATCACAAAGATTCACCCAGAAAAGCAACAATTTTCTGAGTTTATGCATCTTATTAGTGTCTACGTCCATATTAACATCTGCTTCAGGCTCCCCCTTTTTCCCCCAGTGGTAGCATCCCTGATGTCTAGACAAACAAATGTGACAAGGCTAAGCCCAGCGCTTGGAAAGCCTCGGATGAGTTTATTTATACCTGTTAACTTTTGGTCTGTCTTTTAAGTGTAAATCTTTTATGGCGAGTTCTAAGAAAAAAAAAGTATTCTCAACATGCCAAGATGTAGCCTGACTCCTGGGCCAAACCACTAGTAGTAAACATTATAGCAGCTGGCATTACGTAGAGAACTCAGCTACAAAAGCCACTCATGTCATTTATTATATCAGCAGCAGCACCGACAAATAGGCTCCGGCTCTTTACAGTTCTGTGCCACACCGAAGCTTGAACAAACACAAGAAACCAGGAGGAAACAGGAGTGGAATTTGTACCCTGCACTGAACGCTCCTGATCTTGATACCTTTGATTTATTTCTTTTTTTAATGGAGGAAAAAGCAAAACAAAATACACTGGCAACAAGTCAGTTTGTGCAAATGTAAAAAGCAGCATCTGTGTGTTTACAAGGACACAAGAAATTGTCATTTTCTATGAAATACACGAGCGAGGCGCAGGCCACTCATAAATCTGAGCGCAAGATGTGCTTTTTCTCTAATGCTCTCTGCAGACCTGTTGCGGCTGCTCAGTGCGTGCAGTGTCGCAGGGCCAGATGTATGAACTCTATAATGTATAATCGTACTTTTCCAAAAAAACACAACGTGAAGGCAACTTCTTCAAATGTTTTCTAGATTGAGTACTCCTTTTTTGACATGGTAGCATTAATAGACAAAGTTTAAACACTCTGCAAACTTATTTAGCCCAGTGGCAAATATGGATTTGAGCTTCTGTTGAAAAAAAAGCAGAACCACAGGGTTTATTTTGGCAAGTGAACAGAGAACGAGTATAGATCTTTATGATATAAAGATCTGACCTCATTTATGCTTAAACTCTAGTGGGTACTTAAATCTGGGCATCAGTTACACTGCTGAGAGAGACACAGTCAAACTCATGAAATAGTATTTACCAAAAAGTGAAAGTTACTTATAATTAGGTATAGTTACTATAAATGCACACATGATGAGATTCATGAGATTTTTACCATGATTTATAGACTGCCTAATAACCCGAAGGCTATATTGTCTGTCACTATTGATGTTCTGACTAACTCTGACTATTGTTGACAGACTGCAGTTAATGACACTTCACTCAGTATCACGGAATCCATCAAGATAAGCCTGTTGACTGCCACTGAACTGTGCCCCACCACAGTCGCTTTAAAGCTGTTCAACAACTTGCGTAGCTCCATGCCGCTGACAGTGCCAATCAGTTATGCAGCTCCTTTTTTTTTTGTTCCTACCGCTGGTTTGTATGATAATTCGTCTCCCGAACTATGTGATTCTTCTTTTTCATCTTTGAGCTCACACATGCTCATCAGCCAAGCCGCAGCTGACGCCAGAGAGCTACTGCAGGCAAAGAAAACAGAGCGTACTATTACTTTCCCCTCGTGCAGACTGCTTACACATGCCCCCC